TTTTCATAATATTTCAATATTTTTTCATTAAAAAATATTTCATTATATTTAAATAAAAATGATAGATATTCTATATATAGTAATATTTAAAGACTGTTAAAATAAAAAATTTTGTTAATGAAGATTTAATAAAAAATATTATTTACTTACATAAAATTTTATTTTAATAATTTAATAGTACTTACCTTTAATAGCCATGTAAGAACAGATTCACGATATGGAACAAAACCTCGTTTACGATTACTTGTATTTTCAGCTAAAGATGCAATTACTTTTCCCAAAGTTAATAATGATTTATTAATAGATACACCTTCCTATAGAATGTACAACAACAATGAATGATATATTATAAAAAAAATTGCTAAATAATAATTAAATAATTAAATATAATATAAAATACCTTTAATCTATCACCACTTGCACAAGTTTGACTTAATCTCTCACTTCCTGCTAAATCTACTAAATTAATTTTACTTCGACGACTAGCATCTATAGTTCCATTATCTAATTGATTATTTATTTGAGTTTGTGTTAATATAATACTAAATATGCTATGTGATCTGGAACTTTTTTCATTCATTCCAGTTGCTGCTGTAGCTCTTTGTGAATTACCCACTTTCAGCCAAGTCTAAAATAAATATATTTATAAATAAACATATTTATTATATATATATATTAATATATAATATATTAAAAATATACTTGTAAATCTTTATAGTTTTGTACACAATGTTGACTTAAATCAACAATATATGGACCAAATACAGGATGTTCTCTAACTTTAAGAGGAGCTCTTTTTACTCCACTGTTAACATTTGTTAAAAGATCATGTATTTTCTCATTATAAATTTCAAAATAACTAATTTCTACTGTAGTTTTAATGTTCATATTATTAGATATTCTTGCAAATATTTCTTGACAAAATCTTGGAATAATACCAATTGCTTCATCAAATGATGATGCAGTAATCTGAGTAGATTCTTGACCCATCATGCTATAACTTTTACCAGAACCAGTTTGTCCATAAGCAAATAAACAAACATTATATCCTTCAAAAGCATTTTGCACCAATGGTAGAACCATATTTTTAAAAACAATTTCTTGATTAGCATAACCAGGCTGTGATATATCCACATGTGACATAAAGCAATGATCATATGTAAAAGTATGTTGAATAGATTCACAAGTAACAATAATGTTTTGACCATATACTTGTATAACTGATGTAATTTTTGAATCATTTAATTCTCTAAAGTCATAAAAAATATAAAAAAATATTAAAATAATATTATATAATATTATTAATAATATATATTATTATAATTAAAAATATGATATTATAATATAATATTATTTTAAAAAAAAAAGTTCAAAAATATAATAACTTACTTTGTATTTAAAGGTCTAACACGTATTCCTACAGTTAAATTAGTATTTTCTTCTTCATATACTGTTTGATCTTCAATATCAATTTCATTTAATTTACTAGATGGTGTTTCAACTTGAACAACATTAAAACAATCAGGAGTAACTTGTGATAAAATATTATCACTAAAATAACGTTTTATAGGTGTTTTATTTGAAGGTAAGGTATTTATTTTTGAACTACTAGCACTATGAATTTTATATTGTTTAGGAGTATAAGAGTGCATAGTTAAAATTTTTTCACTCAATGAGGTTGTACATGCTTTTGTAGAAATTTTACATTTTGAATCAGATGCTTCATTTTCAGAGAATAAAGTTTGTTTTTTTTTAAGTATATTTGTAGATTTTGAACGAATAAGATTTATAGTACAAGGCGTACTTGTTATTTTTGAATTTTCAATATCATTGTCAACTAATATTTTATGTTTTTCAAATTTTAAACATTTGTTTTCATTATGATCTTGAATTCTTTTTTGAGGTGTATTAAGTGTGTCAGAACATGTTTCTTCTCTATAAGATAGTAGAATAAATAATATATAATATTTTAATAATAGTATATTAATATAAAAAAAAAACTTACTTTTCATTTAGATAATTAATATTTTCTTTATCGAAATTAATAGGCGAACTTGAAAAAATGGCATCATAAAATCCATGTTTCATAGATTTTAAAGTATTATGTGACATGCTGTTAAAAGTCTATATATCAAAATTTCATTAATTAAATCAAAAAAAATTTTCTTTTCTTTTAACTAACCTTTTAACTAAATTTTATTCTTTGACAATTCACGTGGAATATTTGTGAGGATTTCCGCCATCCACAGTTTAGATTCTATATAACGAATTTTTTCGTAACAATGATTTAAAGATAAAAATAAACTTTTTACAAAATTATATCATGTTTAATACTTTAATATTATGATTATATGTTTATATATTAATAACAAACTGATTAATTTACTGACATTTTATTTAAAATATTAGTACATTCTCAATTATTATCGCAACCATTTCTTGAATTTAAAATTTACAAGCTATCAGAATAGCCAATAACTAAGAATTATTAACAAGTCAATGTTACCAACGTTAATACGTTAGTTTTAAAAAAACTAAACAATTTTCCGATAACACATTATCCAGTGACGTGGCCGCAATTTTTTAATGTTATTTCTCATAATTATAATATTAAAGTTTTTGCACTTTTATGCACTTACAACAATATATAGTCCAGCTATATTTTAATAAATTTGTGCAAAATTATAAAAACGATCATAATGACAGAGAATAACCAACAAAGAAATAATACAAATAAATGGATCTTACGAATTGCACTTGGCACATTTTTATTGCTAATAATTTTAAATTTACCAAGCCTTTGTCAAGCTCATGAACATGAAAGGTCACCAAGCTTTAAATATACCAAGGAAGCCAATGAAGCATATTTACAGAATCAATATTCTATACATCATAAAGAAATTATACATAAACATAAACATGAAAATGATAATTATGACCATCAATATAAGTCAGTTTTATCTGACAGAACTTATAACAAAGTGATTCTTAAAGCTACTGCATCTACTTTAATTATATCAGCAGCTCCCTTTTTTATTTTATTCTTTGTACCTTTAGATAATACTAAAGAATGTGAACCATTGCTTAAAGTATTATTAAGTTTTGCATCTGGTGGTTTATTGGGAGATGCATTTTTACATTTAATTCCTCATGCTTTAATTCCTCATATGTATGAATCTTCTGAAGAAGTACATTCATATACAAATTCTCATAATAAAGATGATGAAGAATCAAATCATGGACATGATATGTCTGTTGGCTTATGTGTATTATTAGGTATTATCATGTTTTTAATTGTTGAAAAAGCAGTGAGAATTATTAAAAGTGATCATAGCCATTTACATACACATAAGATAAGTATTACAAAAAATCTATCAAAAGAAAACAAAGATGATAATAAATTACAAAAAGATATTGATAAATTTGATGCTATTTCTAAAGAAAAAGAAACAAAAAATATACAAAATGAAATTAAAATTGCTGGTTATTTAAATTTAGTTGCAGATTTTTTACATAATTTTACAGATGGTCTTGCTATTGGAGCTAGTTATTTAGCTGGAAAAAATATTGGTTATATTACTACATTTACAATTTTATTACATGAAGTACCTCATGAAATAGGAGACTTTGCTATTTTAATACAAAGTGGTTATAGCAAACAAAAAGTAAGATATAAAAAAACATATAATTAACAAAAGAAATTTTTAATATTATATAATAATAATTTAATTTTAATTAATTAATTTAATGTTAATTTAATTACAGGCTATGATGCTTCAACTTAGTACTGCTATAGGTGCATTGTTGGGAACTTATGTATCATTATTAGCAGAAGGCATGGGTAAGAATAAATTATAATACTTTAAACAAATATAAATAAATGATATTATATTTATTTTGAAATTAAATTTAAAATATTATGTTTATAAATCTTTTAATTAAATATTAAATATCTTTTAATTAAAAATTTCAATTTAGTTTTTTTATTAAATTTTTCAGGTGATCTTGCAACTATGTGGATTCTTCCATTTACAGCTGGTGGATTTATTTATATAGCTACAGTTTCTGTAATACCAGAACTTTTAACAGATACTAATTTTAGACAATCTGTAAAAGAAATTATTGCACTTCTCTTAGGTGTATATATGATGGTACTTATAGCAGAATATGAATAGTTTTATATTACATTTTTTTCAACATATTGTGATCACTTAATAATTCATTTGACTGCTATAATAAGAACTCAAAATTGGAGTTTATATTTTTACAATATTGTAATTATATTACTTAATGAATATTAATGACTATTCTAATATGTTATATAGCATGAATACCAGTGAAAGCAATGCTGTATGATTATTATAAATGTTAGTAATATGAAAAATAATAGAGCGAATACAAAGATAAAAATCAGTACAATTTTAAATATTATTTGTCATAAATAAGAAATATCATAAATAGAAAACTAAAAAAATTATTAACATGTATTGGAAAATATTAAAATAATCTATAATTAATCTCGTAAGAAATAATATGAAGAAAAATAAGAAGAATAATATAAAATCAAATATTGATACATTCGTGATATATTTTTTTTAAATATTAATATTGATTTTTAATATTACATATATTTATTTGTATAAACCATTTTGTGTTCAACTATATGAAATAATGTTTTTTTTTATAAAACTTGTCTTAAAAATTTGTTTATATTGTGAATTGATATATCTTTTATATATCTTTTATACTATATTCATATATGTTCATAAATAGTTTTATAAATATAAAAAAAATATCATTCTATATAATTAAAAAAATCATGGTTTTAATTTCAAATAAAATATCATAAATTTTGTTTATAGTTGTATCAATTGCTATATTATAAGAAATTTTAAGTTTTATTAAAAAGGAAAAGAGTAAAATCTCATAAATTTTCTAAAAGAATGGAATTTTTTAGAAGAATAGAATTTTTATATTTTAATAAATTCAATAATATATTATATATGATATAAAATTATTATTTTATCAATTATTTAAAAAAGTGTAACAAATATATCATAAATATATAATCTTATATTATAAATAAAATATATTTAATACTTTTTCATTATGTAAACTGATATATCATACAATTATATTATATATAATTACAATATATATTATATATAATTTAATATAACACACAATATTAATATATTTATAATTTAAAATAAACTTGAAATAATCATATTTAATATTTTATATTAAGATATTAAACTTTTTAATTGTTCAAAACATTTTTTAGCCTCTATTATAGTTTCATTATCATTTCTAGCTTTTGCTAAATATTCTCCTTCACTACAACTTTTTTTTGCTTCTTCATAAAGTCCTTTTGCAATAAATGTATTTCCCAAATTGACATAAACAGAACCTAATTCAATCATATCTGGTAATTTTTTTCCTAAAAATATAATTCATATATTTAAACTAATATAAAGATAATAAAATAATGTTAGTATTACCTAGTTCTGCAGCTTTAGATAAATATTGAATAGTTTGATCATATTTTTGTAACATATAACAAACGCTTCCTAAATTATTCAATAAAATAACAGTTTGTTCATTTTTTTCACCATTTATTTTTATAGATATATCATAAGCTTGAATAAAATATTCAAAGGCATTAGCATATTGTGATTGCGAAAAAAGCATAGATGCATATTTTTCCAATGTCAAACCTAACAATTGTAATATATCCTGATTTTGACTATCTTTAATCAAATGATTTTGTAAATGTTGTAAACAAAATTTATATCCATTTTCTGCTTTTCTAAATAATGGTAAAATATTTTGTATTAAATTATCAAATATATTTTATAAAGAATCTAAAAAAAATACAATTGAAAAATAAATAAAACTATATGATTGCTTACTGTGTATCTCCTATCTTATCATAAATATCAGCAATTTTAAGACTAATATGAATGACTGCTAAATCATCTTGTGGAATTCCTTTAGTTATTAATCTTTTTAAAACTGATATAAATAAATTTTCTGCTTTTTTAAAATCATTTATCTCATATGCTAAATTTGCCATTACATCATATACATAAGTTATACCATCATAATGTTGTAAAATTTGTGCTTGATTTAAAGCAACATGCAACATTTGTTCCGCTTTTAGAAATTCTTGTTTCTATAAATATTAGAAAGAATTATTTATGTTGAAATGATATTAAAATAAAAAATTATATTCAATACTTGATTACTTATGCAATATATTTAATTTTTATTATATTATCATTATCAATTATTATCAATTATTATAATATAAAAATATTATATCTAACCTGAATTAATAAAATTGATCGTTTAATTGTCATTTTTAATTCTTCAATATCATCTTTTTCTTCTTTAGGTTTAAATAAATTAAATAAAAAACTAGCTGATACAACAAAAAATTTAGTTTGTGATATATTTTTCCACTGATAAGTATTATAATTTCTTTTTATTCTATTAACTTGTTGCAAATATGTCATAAACATATTTTTTTTTTGATGTAATAAACATACATTAGCAAAAACATAATTAGACTTTGTAACTATTTGAACATATTTGAATACATTTATAATTATCATTGCATTGAATTATATTTAATAGAATTTCACGATAATGAAACGTAAATATTTTATAATATATCAATAATATTTCTACATATATATTTTAATCTTAATAATGTTATGAGAAACAATTGTCTTTAACAAGTAAATATTATTCTTAATCGTATGTATACCTGTAAAAATATATTTATATCTGTAAATTACAAAAGTGTATATAAGTGAATTAATTTTAATTAATATATATATATTAATATTTTATACATTTTATATATATATATATATATATATATATATATATATAACTATACCAAAAACGTATATAATCTTACAAAATAATGCATATTATTATATTTATTGATATATATACGCAATTGTTTACTTATATACGTATTAGATATTCAAGAATGATACAGATAATGATACATGCATACACATTTATGGCAAATTATCATATATACAAATATATATACATTATTATACAATATCGTTATAGTATTTTTTGCCCCACCCTTGTTTTTCGTATCGCAATGCTGCACACCTTGATTTCATGTATTACGTACCTTTTCACCTCACGGATATGAGATAGGTCATATCACGATAGGTAAGAAAGATTTAATTATATAATTTTTCTACGTATAATATATTAAATATAAATATATAATATTATCTTCGTTGTATTAATAATAAAAATTGTATATACGTAAATATTTTTGCAAATTTTAGTTTTCATGCATATATACATGGTTCGCATTTTATACGAATTTATAATTTTTATTTTGAAATTTTATAATTTTGTTATTAAAAATATTATTTAACGTAATGCTTTAATTTTTTATTATACTTTCATATTTTATATATATCTATATTTTAATTCATGTTTATATTATAAAATACATCTTTATAGACACTCCCTATTTTTTTAAATCTCTATTTAATAACATTTGACATTACATTTGATAAATATATGTATAATTAATTTAATATATATGAAATTCTTAAATAAAATCATTCCATAGATTATACATATAACAAAATATGTTTAATATTTTTGAATACATGAAATGATTTTATATGAAATGATTTTCTTTATATATATCATTTATTTGTTTTTTTATTATTTCTTTAGTGAAAATGAGTTCACAAGATACAACTGATCATGTATCAGTAGTTAATTCACCTAATATATCTTCAAGAACAAAAAATTGGGTCCAATTTGAAGATGAAGCACCTGTTAAAAATAATGATAATATAGAAGAAAAAACTAAAACAAATACACCAGCTGTAATAAAACCAGAATCAATAACAGTGAATGTTGAAAAAATTGGAAAATCTGTTGATAATTCAGATAATCAACAAATAAAAAATCATGAATATAGAGGTGCTGTGATATCAACTGAATCCGTCCAAATTAATTTAGATAGGTCAGGTTTAAGTCGTTCTATTACATCTGAAAGTCCAGAACTTAATTTACCATCTGAAATAAGAGTTTCTGATCCTAAAAGTGCTTCTTTGAAGACTATTGATCTCCGAGATATATCCAATGGTAGAAGTGTTACTAATAATATTATAAGTACATCTATTGGAAATATTAGACAAGGTTTTGCCAATGGGGATACTATAGTTACTCTTTTACCAATCAATACTAGATGGCCATGGATTACTCCAGCTAAATTTCGTCCAGAATTAGTACCAGAAGAATTAATGGCTCAAGGTTTAACGGTACATTTCCAATTGAATTTTATTTTTTTTTATAAATATTTTTTTATATATTTATAATATTTAAAATTATTTTTTATAAATTTTACATTCATATCTATATAAATTATATTTTTATAGCTTACAGTAGAAGATTACGTACATATAATGGAGTTGCTTGTGAATGATGTACGTTTCAATATGTATAATGTATGTTACAAAAGGATTCTTGTTCTTTGGATATTTACTGCATTTATTGTATTGCTTGGCTTATTATTTTCTGGAGTTACTGGTCTTACTTTATTTGGGCTTGGCGTTATGTGGTTAGTCCTCAATGCTGCTGCAATATTTTTTTGCATGTTCATCAAGATAAAATTGAATCATAATCTTGAAAAATGTATGGGGCAAGTGAACAAGCATTTACTTCGACATAAAATATTGCTTGGATTGGATGATAGAGGAAAGATTTCATGTCACAAAGTCAATCTTTGCTTCATATACTTTGATACTACAGATTGCATTGTAAGTGTCATTGAATATGTATTTAATTTAAACATTTAGAGCTTAATGTAATTGAGTTTGTATAAAAAAAAAATTTCTTTTAATTAAAATTATCAATTTTTTGAAAATTTTTGTATTTTATTATATATTTCTTTTATATATTTATTAATATATTCAAAATTTAATCAATATATAATATATTTGAATATAATTAATATATTTAAAACTTAATTTGTTTTATAATAGAAAAAATTACAAGAAATTATAGAACGAGAAGAACGCGAAGGAAGAATAATAGGAGAAGATGGAAATTCTGAAATGCGTCGAAAAAGGGAGTTACAACAGCGAATGGATATAGATGATAGTGATATTGTAATACAAGGCAATACAACTACTAGAATTTCTCGCAAACAGGTACATAATTTTTATTTTAAATAATTATTTTATAAAAATTAAATTTATTAATTATCTTGAATTTTTTATTTTTACAAAATTTCAATATGTATATATTATAAAAACATTATTTATATATATCATAAAAATATATATTTTTTTTCCTTTTTTTTTTTTTGTGAACTTCACAATATATTTTTTGTATAATAAATTAAAAACTATTAGGGTAAAAGTGAACAAGTATTCTGCCGCTATGTACAACGTTGGGCAAAGGATTATTTACGTCGACGATTGGATTGGACAGTAGATGAGGAAGGTGGAAATCCTTCTTCACCTCGTCATTTAGCATCAGCTTTATGTCCGTGTCAATATATAGAAGAATGGTTACGTAATAAACCTCATGTTCAAGGCAGAGATTTCTGTCCTAGCTGGAGTAGTTTTCTTAAAGATAGAGGCATTTAAAACAATATTGTTTAATATACATATAACAAATAAAAATATATAACAAAATTAAAATCAGTATTGTTTAAAGCAATATTGATAAATTTAAAAAGAAACTTTTTAACTTATACAAATTATTTTAATATTAATAAAAATTTATTTAGAAATTTATTTTTTTGAAAAATTAAATGAAAGATATATTAAAAATCAAAGAATTTAAATAGATTTAATTATTTGTTAATAATATGAGTGATATTATTAAAAGTAGATGAATAATCAAAATTTGTTTTATTAAAAATTAATAAAACAAAATTAAATTATATGAAATATGAAAAGTACTTATAATGTACTTAATTATATAAGATTTTTATTTGTAATAATTGCAATTAAATTTCTAAATAATATTAATATATGAAACATTTTTTAGAGTTATTTTTTGGTGATATGGATTATTATACTTGACTATAATTAATACTATTTTTTATTATATTATTTGTTAATTAATATGTTATTAAATATTTAGAATTCAAATTAATATTTGTATAAATCTTGTATAATTACACATATGTGTATGTATTACAAGCTTTATTTTTAATATTGCATATAATTGTACATAATATTTGGATATCATATAATTCAGAATAATTCATTTGATGTAGAAAAATGTAGTTTATATATAGAAAATATTTTTAAGTAAAATGGTGAATATGAATGGTGAATAATGGTGAATAACAAATTTTGGTTAAACAAAAAATGATAAAAATTTCTGTTAAAAAAAAAATTTTGTAATCTGTTATGTCTTTATGTTTAATTACATATTTTATATATAACAGATTTTTCAAATTTCATAAATAAGTTATATACATTATTATTAATGTATATAAAAACAGATTTAGGCTACTTCAGCTCTAGGTTTCTGAATGATGATGGTATGTGTTGACAGGAACGGGCGGAGTTGCTGTTGCTGAGGTATGCATCTCGATGGGCACATCACTTTGTGCGCCGCAGACTTGATCTGGTTATAGACTCACAGGAACGTAATAGAGACATCGCGGGTTTATCTGTTCCACCACGTCATTGTGTCTCCGCCCGTTGTCCTTGTCAATTCATTGAGGACCATCTTAAGTACAAGCCTAGAGGCAAGTTAATATTTCGTACCTTTTTTTTGATGCCGAATTTTGGTAGTAAATAACTAAAATTAATTACTTGATGATTATGATATAATCATAATTCAAAATAATTAAAGCAATCAATTATATGTTCCTAGAATCTATGTTTGTTATACATATGAAAAATTTATATCGCAAATCATGTAAAACAGTAGCAAATTGACATTAATTATTAATATAAATAGTTGAATTACAAACAACTACTACAAATAATATATTAAAAATATGCAAAAAAATTTGATATTATTTTTTATTGCGATAAAAAATTACTAAAAGTTTTATTCAAATATTTATATTATATAATTGTTTGATAATAGTAGTATTTTAATGTGATTTATATTTTATATATCATCAAAATTTACATGTAATATCAAATATTTTGTAATTTTCACTTATTCCATTTTATTTTTGAGTAATACAAATAATATTCACCATTTTATAATGACATATTATGTTAAACATAAAAAAATAATAATAGAGATAAATACCTGAGAAAAAAAAAAAAGTATAATCATTCCATTATATTATTATTATTCTTCATAAATCGAGTTTTATTTTAAAATTCATAAAACATTTGATACATGCTTTTATAATAATTACACAATGAATTTTATAAAAATGATATATATACGTATATATATTATATACATAATATTATATAATTTTTCAATAGTAATATTGAAAAATTATGTATATACAAATTATGTTATATAGTTAAATTTTAATATTATAGATGAATTTTATATTTTTGGTTTTAAAAAAAATAATTCCAGTATTCATTTAAGTTAAGACAATTTATTTAATTGTTAAAATGATATTAATTGATCGCAATTTGAAATAATTGCGAATATTTGATTAATGTTATAAAAAACATACAACAATCTAAATATATATCTGAATTCCGTCCTAATTGAACATATCATATTATGTAAAAAGTATAATTAATATATTGTATACTTTTATATTCCGTTTGAAAATACTTAATCTGTAAATGAACAGAATTATTCTACTTTTATATAAAACAAATGTAAAGCACTTTTATATTATTGTTACAAATGTTATAAATAAAGATCAACACATAATATATGTTTTTTTGGTGGAGGTACAATTGTATTTCTGTAAAGAACCTTTTCATTTATGTAGATTAATTAGTTCATAGAAATTTTTTGCTAAGTCTGATATACCTTATGTGTATATTTTTCTAAAACATAGGTATTTGTCACTAACCACTGACTAATCCAGGGATTACTTGCATGCAGCTGGAAAAAAGGCAATACATTTTGATATTTCATTTCAATCACATTTTGTGAACATATGAAAATCATTTACTATATAATATAATTGTAAGTATATATATTAAACTTTTATTTTACGATGTATTTTAAAGCAAACATGATATACATGATATATATAGTATACTATATATAGTATACTATAAATATATATAATATGTTATATACTAGTAGATAATTGCTTCATATATTTTTTATACATTATTTAATACATTATTTTATTATACATTATTATACATTATAATAATAAAAAATAATGATATAATGAAAAATTTTCTTAATAAATTTTTAATTATTAAATATTCATATATAATATCTTAAGTTGTTTAATTGAAAACATTAATTTAAAATTTTGTACATAATTTTTTCAGGATATCCATCAGGCTTTACATGGTGTGCTTATCTTAATGATCCATTAGTTAAATATGATATTACAATAGGCATTCCTAATTAACAATATCAATAATTGAATGAATGCACAATACTTAAGACATTTTGAAAAAAAATAGTTGTAAACTTTAATAATAGATATTATTTTATATTTTGAACTATTTTTAGTACAATCTGAGAAAAATTTATATCAAATTAATCTTTAAGCTCTAAATCAAGATATTTATAAAATTATTATATATTAAATTATACTTGTATATATTATATTTTTATTATATTTATATATTTTTATATTATGAATTCTTTTAAATAATAAAAGGAAAGAAATAAATCATTTAAAAAAGAAAATTGAAATAATATAATAATATAATAAAAGTTGTAATAGTTTTCTGA